ACATGCTATACTAAACAAATGCATTGGTGTATATATTACAAAACTCAGTGTGTGCCATAAGCAGCATGCCCTGAAGGTACTCAAAAAGATTTTGAGACAGCGCCACCTGTTGGTCAAAAGTTATAAATTAATTTCTGAGAACGCTAATAACGTTTGAATAAATTTGCTATTGCAATGAAACTGATCTTAATAGATTCCTTCGGTTATGCCGAAAACATAGATATCAGGTTTTCCCTATTCATCAGACAAACGTCCTGTTCGCCATCTTTATTTCTTTGAAAAAACTTCTTTTTCGAACTCCTCCTAGACCGTTTGTCCGATTTTCACGAAAATTTAAATCGTATCATCTTCAGACTGTGCCGAATAAAAGTTATGGACTGAACGATGATAGACAAAAACGTTTCGTATACCACAGCATCAAAGTTTAGGCATGCTGCCAAAAATGACTATTTAGGCTTTATCTCTGCAATGCCTTCACATTTTGACACCAAACTTTGCATGTGTCATTGTCACCTCACTCTGACCACATCACATCTATTTCGGAACTGCGCCACCTATTGTTCGAAAGTGATAACCCATTAAATCATCTTATAAGGTAATGTTTATGTGATTTTTTTTAGCCATTTGCCAAAAGTTCTCTCAAAATGCCCGTAATTGCTCCTTGCTGGCAGTTGGTCTCCACTTCCTAAGCCATTTTGGCAATATGTTGCCGCTTCTTGCGCTTGGCCCCGGTAATGGCTGCTTGCAGGCTATATTTATTATTATTATTCTTCTTCCGACTGGGCGTCTATGGCAGCCCATAGACCGGTTTGCGGGAAAGTTGTTTTGGTTTGACATTCTGATAGAGGACAGTCCCAACTTTAAATACACCAATTTTGGGTGTCTCTAACTCATTCCCTCTAGAGCGCCACCACTGTCCAAAGTTTCACTTTTATTATGCTAATAACTTTTGAACCGTAAGGCCTATCAACAAAATTCTTTTTTCCTCTTGTTCCTGAGCTCATGCCGATTCGATCGCACCCTAATGACGTCATTTTCCGTCATAAAAAACGGCCGCCATTTTGAATTTTCCAAAAAACCTACTTTTGCGAACTCGTCCTAGACGGTTTGTTCCGATTTTCACCAAAATCGCACCGGATCATCTCCAGGCAGTGCTGACAAAAAGTTATGGAATTCAAGATGATTCGAATAACCGTTTTCGATAAACGCGTAAACAAAATTTACGTAGCGCTTGCGAAACAGACGTGAGGTTGTATCTCCGCAACGCTTACTCGCAACGCTTATCGTTTTCACACCAAACTTGGTACGTGTTATCACAAGCATGACCTGAGGCTACGTGCTGCGTTTCGGCGCAGCGCCACCTAGTGTGTCGGAGATATGAAAAATGGCTATTTTTGCTCGTAACTTCTGAACGGTTTCTCCAAAAATCAAAAAACTTGGTCTCGTTAGATTCAGGGCGTCATGCCGAGTCGACCGATATCCAATTTTCCCAGATCGGCCATTTTGGCTGTCGGCCATTTTGAATTATGTGCTAAAATGCTGTATTTTTTGAACGCATGAACGAATTGTTACGAAACTCGTTATGGGTCATCAGTACGATGCCCTGAAGGAGCCTGAGAAGTTTCGAAACAGCGCCACCTAGTGGTGAATTGTTTTATTCAAACGCTTATAACTTTGGGTGTGGTACACTTATTTTCACGGGAGTCATATTTTTGAGGTCCTGAATCGTTGCCGAGTCCAACGATACCAAATATGTCGGGTTTCGTCTCACGGATGGCGTAGCGTAGCGATTTAGCGCGAAAAAAACACTTGGCGATATCTTCAAAACCGCTGTTCCGATCGAGACGAAACCACCGCCAGAAACACGGAATCATAGCTTGTTAACTATACGCTAATGCCCAAATGCGTAAATATTGATAGTAAGGGGTAGTAAAATTCAAACAAAGTCATGTGTCAGTCATTTTTTACGTGTTTTTTCATATAAATGTTTATAACTCGGAAGTAAATTGAGATATTTGCACCAAAATTGACACACATATGTATGGGGTCACTCTGAGGACACATAAAAAAATTGTGGGACTGAGCCTCTTGGTGGCGCTATAATAACAAAACGTGAAATTCCCATTGACTTCAATACAGTTTTGTGAAATACAATGCTATACTAAACAAATGCTTTGGTCTAACATTACAAAACTCAGTGTGTGCCATAAGCAGCATGCCCTGAAGGTACTCAAAAGATTTTGAGACAGCGCCACCTGTTGGTCAAAAGTTATAATTAATTTCTGAGAACGCTAATAACTTTTGAATACATTTGCCTATTGCAATGAAACTGATCTTAATAGATTCTTGGGTTATGCCGAAACATAGATATCAGGTTTTGCATAATCAGCCAAATTCCTGTCCGCCATCTTTATTTCTTTGAAAAGCCTTCTTTTTCGAACTCCTCCTAGACCGTTTGTCCGATTTTCACGAAAATTTAATCGCATCATCTCCAGACCGTGCCGACTAAAAGTTATGAATTGCACGATGATAGACAAAACCGTTTTCGTATACCACAGCATCAAAGTTTAGGCATGCTGCCAAAATTACTATTTAGGCTTTATCTCTGCAATGCCTTCACATTTTGACACCAAACTTTGCATGTGTCATTGTCACCTCACTCTGACCACATCACATCTATTTCGTAACTGCGCCACCTATTGTTCGAAAGTGATAACCCATTAAATCATCTTATAAGTTAATGTTTATGTGATTTTTTAGCCATTTGCCCAAAGTTCTCTCAAAATGCCCTTAATTGCTCCTTGCTGCAGTTGGTCTGCCACTCCTTGCCATTTTGGCATATGTTGCCGCTTCTTGCGCTTGGCCCGGTAATGGCTGCTTGCAGCTATATTTATTATTATTATTATTCTTCTTCCGACTGGGCGTCTATGGCAGCCCATAGACCGGTTTGCGGGAAAGTTGTTTTGGTTTGACATTCTGATAGAGGACAGTCCCAACTTTAAATACACCAATTTTGGTGTCTCTAACTCATTCCCTCTAGCGCCACCATGTCCAAAGTTTCACTTTTATTATGCTAATAACTTTTGAACCGTAAGGCCTATCAACAAAATTCTTTTTTCCTCTTGTTCCTGAGCTCATGCCGAT